AGGGGAAAAATTTTTTTTAAAAATATTAATTAAACAATCTTTGTCAATATTTAACAAACAAATATTTACAACTTGGGGAAGCATTTTTGGTAGATATACATTTAATTAGACTAGCACATTGACCCCAGTACTTCCTGGCCCACCAGTACCAAAGCAACCCAACAGAGCTGATTGGACCAAAGAGGGAACTATGACTCAAATGAAGTCAAAATATTAACTAGTCTGGATGCTTCTATTATAGGATCTGGAGTCAGAAAGATGTATGCCAGAACCTCTGAGCCAGGTGGCCCTGACAAGTTCATGAACTTCTTCAAGTTGCCTTATCTATGTTAGCACAAGCTATGGCTGTTGCTAGGATGAAATAACACATGATATGAAAGTTAGCACTGTGTTAGGCACATGGTGAATGTTCAGAAGTTATTATTACTAGTAACAGATTGTCTTCACACTCATGGAAAGAAAAGGTTCTGCCCTTGCAGTGGCTGTGGAATTAGCCAGGTGCCTCAAATTCCTTCTCTTGGAAATAGGGTGTGGGTCTGAGAAAGCAATCACTGGTTCCAGGTGGAGACATGGGTAAAACTACAGAGAAAAGCAGACAGGAGTGGAGAAGGAGAGGGTCAGGGAGATTCTCTAAGGATCCTTCCCTTTCTTCCATGCTGCCCATCCTCCCGCCCCAGTGATTTTTCAATCCCAAACTAGGCAGCTGCTGCTTCTTGAAATTTAAAGGGCCCAAAGCAACAAGATAGGACTCATTTCTCCTAGCAAGATCGTGTTTCTCTGCTCATGATGAAAGTTAGACACATTACTATTTCCGGAAGTTACTCAAATAGTAGATACTCTCCACAAATGAGCTCAAGTATTTCTAAGGACTCTGTTTCCTGAATGACCAGGATGCTACATAAGACTCCTCTTCAGATAGGCTCAAATACTTTTCCTGTCACACTGTCAAAATAAATAAATGCAATTTGTTAAGAACGTATCATCTGTAATGTTAGCTATAGTGGTATATACCTGTTATCTCAGTACTGGGGAGGCAAAGACAGGAGGGTCTTGAATTCAAGGCCATGCTGGGCTACATGGGTAATTCTGTGTCTCAAAAAAAATAAAAGGAAAGAAGGAAAGAGGAAGGGAAGGAAAGGAGGAAGTTTCTCTCTGCCATCTAAAATATTTCCATAAAGTATTTCCATAATGTTCCCGCCTCCAGTCCAATCTCACTCTTCTGCACTACTATTACCACTCCTTTTTCCAAACTAATCTTCCTTCAGTGTAAATCCACTCATTTCATTTCCCTGCCTACAATGCCTACTAGCCCTCGCTCTAATCCAGATGAAGGAGAATCCTGGCGTATCTGGTTTGTGCCTCTTTCACCATACTCTAACCACAAGTGCCTTGCACTCCACCTGAGGCACAGAACCACCTAGCATTCCTTCTGCCTCTGTGCTGTGCCTCTCCTACACTTACAATCTCCATCCTCCCTCACATCTAAATGGCTGGAGATTCCAGTTTACAGGCTCTAATTCTAGTCCTTCTCACCCACTCAGCAATGTTTGTTGATACCGGGCTGGGAATGCAAACTATGAAAACAAACAACTAGTGCCTAAGAAAGCTCCCAGTCTCACAAAAGCCAGGTGTCAGGTACTGGAACAATCAAAACTCACTAAGGAAGAGCTGAAAACAAAGAAAACAATTGGAACCATAGCAACAAAGAAGATTCCCTGAAGAAAATCACGCCTGAATAAAACCTTAAGGATAATAAAGTTCACTATGATATAGATTGAGGAACGGTTGTCCATCATTTTACTCGGAAGTATTATAAAATGAAAGGAAAGGGTGGTATGAAATTACTCATTAAAATCCTTCTCTATTCTAGAAAAGAAAGGAATGTGTGTGTGTGTGTGTGTGTGTGTGTGTGTGTGTGTGCTGGTTTGCTGGGACAGGAAAGGGAGTAAGGGCAGAAGGAACATGACTGTTGTGTTGTGAACATGTTGAGTCTGAAGTACTCCCGTGGGATATGCAAGTAGAGATGCAGAGATTCACAATACACAAGTGGATGTGTGGGTGGGTACAAAGAGGAAGCGAGAGACACAAGCGTGGAAAGCAGTTAGAACTTAGATGGCAGCTGGAACCGTGTGAGCACTGGGCACACTGCCACCATGAGTGACACAGTGCCCCAATATGGCAATGACCACTTGGACATTATAAAACGCCATCCCAAGACTGATGCATCTGAGAGTGACAGACAAGGCTTAGCTACCTAAATGCCTAGTTATTTCATAAACAAAACGTATCCAAATCCAAAAGTAAGCTTTCTTAGCACTCTAAGATTTGAGAATATAGGCAACATATCATTTATCCTGGAAGTATTTAGAACTCGCTAGAGAAGCAATGTGGTTTCCATTAGCCAATGGAAAGCTGACTATTCCATGATCTAGCACTGTAAGGAGGCTGGTGGAGAGGGTGCAGGTTTGGGATGGAATGCTCAGAAAGTGCTTCTCTCAGAAAGATGGCCTAAAGAGAGCATGAAGAAATGAGTGGAGCTCTTGTAGCAGGAGAGAAAATGAAGCAGTATCACAGGCCCAAGAGACTACCAGGGCACTAGGCCATGCTGGGCAGAGAGCTTTCCCTTGATAACAATCTGCAGATATCAGAATGCTGTAGGAGAGCTCACGGAAGCAGCTGGCTGGTTAGAAGCAGATAATGCCTGCTGGTAATAGCCAAGGTAAGACTGAAAGGTGGTAGCAAGTATCATGTGCATGTTTGCTTTCAAATATACCAAACTCTCTCCTGCTGAGATAATGGCATTATTTTTGAATATGTATTTTAGGCTCTGGCTTTCCTATCATGAAACCAAATCATGTGGTTAGAAAATTTCAATACTCATGATTTGAATGCTCAAATATTCACAAAAGGAAAAATATCTTTCCCCAAAATGGGTTCCCATTACATTCTTGTCCAGTGTTTCTTTTCTTTTGATATTGTTTATTTTTTTAAGGGTGCAGCTGAAAATTTATCACAGACTTATGGAACTATATGCATTGACATCCTGTCAATGCTTCTTTGATGCTGCTTGATTTCCTAAACTAAGGACATCTTTAGATTTTATAATCTGCTTGAGTCTATTCTGCTGTTCTAGATCAAAACATTTTCCAAAATAATCTAAAACTTATTTAAAATACAACCAGAAATTACAGGGTGAATTTAAATTTCAAGGCCCTAGTAGTCCACGATAAACAGTGATGGAATGAATGACTGAAAAGGCCTTAGTAAATTCTCAACTAGACCATTCTGCTAAGGATCTCAGGAAAAGCTAGATTCTAATACTTATTATTCCTATATTTCCTTTTACCATCTGGCTAGGAGGAAGCAATATCCTAAGCCATGTAAGTCAATGAAAGTCAGCAGAGAAGCTGATTCAGAGGTAAGCGCATTCACTCATTCTCTCATTTATTCATTCAACAAACACTGGCTTAGCAGTTTAACCACAAGTACTGCACTGAACCTCAGTGTGGCAGTGCTCAATAAGAAGCATGGCCCTGCCTTTAAGGAGCTTTTACTATGAACTCAGCTCTAGGTTACAGCAATGTCAACTCACACACAGAATTTTAACTTAAAAGCTTCCTCTCCAGAGTAATTAGACTGGGACACTTTTGTAAAATGTATGTTAGTGTACCATTCTATTAGCAATTCAAATAAGTAGAGAGTCTACCTTTGCCTTCAGATCGACTTAAAGAAAACACACACTGGGTTGGGGGTGGTTTAGCACCTGTCCAACAAGTACAAGGTCTTGAGTTCAAACCCCAGTACCACCAAGAACAAAAAAATGCTTTATGAATCATGAGATCCAGAATTCCAGAATTTACTCATAAGAAATCACTGAGTTTATTGAGCTTAATCTTTTAGGAGAAATTCCTCATGGAGTTTATATTTTAAAAATATGTATGTGCTATAAGAATTCTAAAATGAATGTATGAATCTTTACTGAATCCGTTTAGTAACTTCTCTTTGCCCATAATTTCCATAGATGATTACAATTACCTGTTCGTATGCCCAGAACTTCACAGCTGTCTCTGGAGCAATTTTAATGACATTTATGCCATTTCCTCTCCAAAGGGAACGAACACCTCCTTCTTTTACCATCTGGCGAAAGCCACCAAATATGTTCATTGATTTTGAACCATGAACCTAAAAACAAAAGCAAAGTAATATAAAATCAACTGCAAGTAACTGATACAGTACTAAATGAGTCATATAAACTCTTTTCAATACTGTTTATTTAATGGCCAGGAGATCTATCTGAAAATAAAGTATATGATGGGAGGAATTACCACCACATGTTTTTCTCATTTTTGAGGCAAACGTTTATGTCTCACTCTAAAACTACGAGTTTAATTGGTATCTTTAGCAGGGGAAATGGAGAGAATATGGTCAAAATTAAGTGATTATGAACAATATACACAAAAGAAACCACATGATACATTACACTGAAACACCCTTTGAAACAAGAGAAATAAAAAAGAAAACTCCAAAATAGTAATCCAGATATGAGTGATAAAAATGATTTGGCTATTACATACATCAGAGCCATAGAAACTAGAATGCACAAAGCCTGAAAACAAAAAGGGAAATGTACCTTAACCTATGGGTTATCTCTCAAGGTCTTGGTAGGCAATAAATTGAAAACAACGTGCATCCACAGCCCAGCCCAGTTAATGCTGATGAATTAAGTTAGGGCAAATGAATTACTTGGCTGATACCATAGATGAGGTAGTCCTTTAAATATGCCAAAATGTATGTTTAGCTATAGAAGAAAATTAAATCTAATAAAATTGAAAAGAATTTTAGTTCCAGTCATTTCAGCATATACACAAGAAACTACCACTAAGAGAAAGGAAGGAAGGAAGGAAGGAAGGAAGGAAGGAAGGAAGGAAGGAAGGAAAGAAAGAGAAAGGAAGACAGACAGAAAGAAAGAGAAAGGAAGACAGGAAGAAAGGAAGAAAGGAATCTTCAAACACGGGGAGTTTTTATCCTCACTAGAAACTAAATTATCTGGTCCTTGGATCCTTCAGGACTATGAGAAATACATTTCTATTGTTAAAATCACATACTTGGTGGTATTTCATTAGGATAGCCCAAGCAAACTACGATGTTAGGAAAATACTTCCTAAGAATGACCTCATCGATAATGTGATGATGGCGCATCAAAACGCTGCATTACATTACCAATACCTAACAGAGAAGCAAAGCTTAAGTGCCAGCACCTTCAATTTCCTCAATAGTGGTTTTCCAGTTAGAGTTTCACAGAACACAAGCTGTGCTCTGGCTAAAGCAGTTTAAGAGCTTTCATTCCCAAGTGACCAGAAAAAAAAATAGGGTTAATAAATTTTTTTTAGATATTTGCCCCTATAATTTCTTTTTAAAGAGAAATTTATTTTTACTTGTGGAAACAAAACCAAAATAAAAGTATTGATCCTCAAAAGACTCCACATAGAGCTCCCCTATGACCCAGCAATCCCACTTTTGGGCATTTACCCAAATGATCACAAACAAGACCACACTAAAACTACCAGCACGATTATGTTTATTGCAGCATTATTTACCATAGCTAAGATATGGAACCAACCCAGATGCCCCTCAGTAGATGAATGGATCAAGAAA